TCTATTATGATTTTTAATTTATTTTAAAATTTATCAAAATATACTTTAAAAATTTATCATTTAATATCTTCTAATTTTGATAATTTTCCAACTCATAATGATTTGTTTTTTATGGGCATCTTGAAATTAAATGAAATTTTTTTATGGGCCTCTTGAAATTAAATAAACAATCAATGAGAGGTTGATATACATTCAATGTGTCCAATTTGACCCGACAACCTGGGTCTAAATCTAAGCCCAAAAAACTAGACCCATCCAGTCGATCTTCATCCCACAACTCTTGACCCTATTGGATTCAAGTATGAATTGGTGCCCAGTTTCTCTGAACGCAAACAAGTCTATCTTAACTCAAGTCTGAGTCTAAGTTACAAACCAACCAGTCAAATTCGACTCGCAAACTCAACAACTCAAATCCAAGCCATTGGGACCTAAACCTAACAAAGTCACAACCCCACTAGCAAACTACCATACAATTTCAGGACCCGACCACTCGACCCGACTCGTTTCCGGCCCTAAAAATAATAGGTGAAGATCACACTTGCACTATTCAAACATATATCGCGCATGGTTCTGTGTACAACACGGCATCACATGCATGCATTTAAGGGTGGTGTCATCATTACGCAAGTACGCCATGATTGTGATACCTATTTGACTACGTTTGAATGGAAACATCACTAAATTTTAATGCCCTCTATTTATTACTTTGTGAAAGTACAATTATGCCACTATTTCCACAAAAAGTTGAGAAATTAATGTAAATTTGCCTTAAATTGAGTATTTAGAAAAAATTACAATAGAATCCTAAAACATTCTAAAAATAACAAGACCATCCTTATTTTGAGGTCCATAATTCATTTTTAAAAACCAAATTCCACGGGTAACAAAGAAATGAGGCACATAATTTAGGAATTTCATAAATTAAGAGTAAATATATTCTATTACAATGGTATTAGGGTTTTTTTTACCGAGTCCAAGATTAGCCCATCAAGTATTTAATAATTTTGCTAAATTTTTGCTCATTTCAATGTATTCAATCGTTTTTTGTAGGACTATTTTTTTTCGATAATTCGATGGTGAAGATGACATATTCTATCTGGTTTTTCAAATAAATTAAAAATAAAATTATTGACAATGTCAAAAAAATTGAAAACCACAACGTGGTAACTAAGTATAAGGTACTACCACGGCCCAATCTTTTCCTAGTGATAAAAATCATATACTTTGAAACATCAATGTTAGTGAGTATGGAGTTTTGGATTGCGAATACCTCCACTAGGGATTTAGAAAATTCCCAAATCACACGAAATCTTTTTCTTTTTCTTTTTATCACAAATGTTCCATATCCCAAGTCATGTTTTTTTTTTTTTAAGACGAGATAGTTATTACCAAATTCTTAAATCATGGGAGTTTAATCAATATTCTAAAACACAAGGGTATATTTGGTATTTGTTTTTCAAGAGGGGCAATTACTAAAACTCCACTTCTTTGGAGTCTGTGCATTGGTAGCCAAGTAACAACACATGAGAGGATGTTGCAACGGCTTTACGTGATGATTAAGTACAGTAGGCTATTTATTATTATTTTTACATTTATTTCTTATTTAAATTAAAAAACTATTGAAAAGTGTTTAATTTTTTGTGGGTATTTTGGGGATTAGGAAACTTTGGTGGGATGGTATTTAATGAAGTATTATTTATTTGGGTTTGGGCAGTTTAGGAAAATGATGATGGTTGGGTGAGGCTCAGAACTAAAGCCATTGGAGAATTAGGTTAAGGACTAGATTCATTTTTTCAGGGCTTCTGGTCACAAGTTGGGGCTGCAAGCCTTGACAGGACCTACCCAAAAATAACCATGGCGTGCTAGGGACATTTAGAGAGAGAATCAAAGAGATATAGAGAGAAGCCTAACTCTGAATCTGATTTGTACTAGAGATTGAGAGAGGGGCTATCGTTCTTTCTTATAACTCTATATAAGTAGAGAGAGAGATGCTATTGTATTTGTGTTAACGTTAAAAAAAAAATATAAAATTAAAAAGGGGCTATTGTTATTTTTTATAACTAATACGAGTAGACCCATTTTCAACACAGAAAGGGGAAGCTCTTTAGTTTTTTTAAAAAATTAATTTTTACATGGATACAAAAAAAAAAAAAAAAACGAAATAGGCTAATTATGGGGGAAAATTATGCAGAAGGTCGGTCAACCTGTATATTTTAATTTTTTTTACAAAATTGTCTTCGAACTGAGGATGGCGTCTTTATTTATTATTTTAATTTTTTCACTAATAGCATGATGCTCTAATGTGAAGGTCGGTGTCCAATCCAGAAGGCAGTTTGAGGTTGGCATCCTCGGAACGCCTTATCTCTTAACAAACAAATAAGATAATGAAAAGCACTAGAGAAGGCGGTCAGCAAATGGCTTGCTCGTACCACCTCTTAATGCTTTACAAAGTTAGTATTTCCTGAGGATGCCAGTTTCGGACTGCTTTGAAGAGCACCATGAAAGGCGTTTTGATTATACTAATATCGGATTAACTGGGCACCGCCCCAAACATTAGGGCATAACCCTACTATAAAAAATTACTAATAAGGTTATTTCGGCAGTTCAAGGGGGAGATCCAAATCGCCACCCACCGAATCCGATCCCTTGTCCATAAATTACAATTGAGTGGTCTTTAAACACATTGCTATAACCAATTTGGGAAGGATAGGGAAGACCCTAATCGCCCACCCCTGGAATCCGATCCCTTATCCATAAATTACAATTGAGTGGTCTTTAAACACATTGCTATAACAATATTGGAAAGGATAGGGAAGACCCTAATCGCCCGCCCCTGGAATCCGATCCAGATCAGCAAATTGCAATCCAGTGGTTTTCACAACACTGCTTATTACAAACTAGAGAGAAAGACCAATCTTTGTAGAATCTAGTGAAACGATTACTGTAGCTAGAGAGAGAAAAAGTGAGTACGCCAAAGGAAGAAGACGAGAAGACGGAGAGATTAGGGCAAGGCAGACATTCGCTATTATAGGACTATCCTATGATAATAGTAATTTCTCAGATTAATTTGAGTATAATGTGCAAAATAGTGCTAAATGCTCATAACCAGCGCAAATCACGCAAGATTTTCCATCATTTGTCAATCGATTCATGTTTTCTTTGGCAAATAGTAGAAAGACTTCTCGGCCATCGTACATATGGCTTATCCGGAGTGAGAAACCAATCTCTCTCTCTACCTATCTTTATCTCATTGCATCAATACATACAACTTTCTCTCTCTAGCCTCAAATGCTTAACATAAGCTCCTCTCTCTCCCTAGAGATCTTTATCTCATTGCACCAATACAGACAACATTCTCTCTCTAGCCTCAACTGCTTAACTTATACTCTCTCTCTCCACCATGTCACCCTCTCATCTCATAAATATATACAAATTTGAGAGTTTCTCTCTCTCATCTCCATCTAATGAGAGTATCTCTCTCTAATCTCATTAGCACATGCATCTCCATCAAATGAGAGTATCTCTCTCTAATCTCATTAGCACATGCATACAGCTTGTCTCTCTCTACACAAGGCAAAATTTCAGCTCCTCTCTCTATCTCTAACAGCTCATTTTGGTGACGGCAAAGGAGTTCTCCAAATCTCTCTCCCTCTCTCTCTCTCTCTAACGCGCACATTTTGGAGATGAAAAAAACAGCTGGCATTCGTGCAAGTGAAAACAGTGTGCACATATAAATTACTGTACACTAGCGAGAGTACGTAGCTCCTCGTGTCATAGACCATGTGCCCCTCTCACACAAACAGCACACGTGCACCGGTGCACGTGACCCATGCACTTGATGTAAGAAACATCGTCATATATAACCTACATGCAAGTTCAACATGCATACATGCGCACATGGGAAATATATGAAAAATGCACACGAGGTTTCAACTATTTAATATTGCAATGAGGTTGGAATTGTTATCAAATTAGATGGCTTGGGCGTAACTGAAAGATTTCATAAATATGTGACAAATATGTTTTTGAGCTTTGAATCTAATCAATGATATACTAATAACCATGCGATTTGACATTTAATGGACGAGTAATTGTCACATCTTTGTATTTGAAGTAAATGATATATTTGTATACTTTTCCTTTAATATTAGGTGAGGTTTGTACAAAGTGCCTACTTCTAAATTTAAAAAAAAACTGCGATTTTGAAGTCCAAAAAGCCGGACATTATCTTGAAAATCCATGTCCAATTTTAAGTATGAAATTTAAATTTCCAAAAATCAAGCAGATTTATAAACATTTGAAAGTCTTGTAAATATAACTTATTATGAGATGCATTATTTTTAGGACTTTGAATTTCATTGTATACGGATATATTTCGAGGACAATATGATCATTTGGAAGGTTCTCCAACTTACGAAAGGCTGTTTTTTATTGGACTTTTGAGGTGCACCTTGCTATTATAATATAACGTTGCAAAATACATATTGATCATGAGCTGGCTTAGTTGAGATTAAGTAAATTGTTGATGGGTAAGAAAATGCAGTTCTTTCACCAAAATATTTGCAAATCAATCATCTCGTCCTCAATGACCATGGATCATAAATAAAAGACCCGGAGACCTAAAACTGCAGCTGATTAAATCAAGTGTTTCACCCCTATTTTTGTTGTGGGGGAATGAAACTAGAAAGGTGTGTATAGTTTTCCAATAAGATTGGGTAAGCTTTTGACAATTGTGCGTGTGAGTGGTGTGTTTGTGGGGGTGGGATTGTTTGTATGTGGTGTGTGTGGGGGTGTGTGTTTAATTATACATCCATGGGTATGGATACATTAGCATATCAGATGGCAAAAAAAA